AATTTGGCAGTAAGGAAAATAGTTTTTTAACCAAAATCACGTGTAACCCTTTTTTAAAAAATTTTATTGCATTTTTGAACGAATCACGAAATTGCAATTTTTGAAATTTGAGCACGTGGCGCAGCAATACGGGGTCTTTAGACCAAGCCAACCATACTACCACTATCATTATTATTTTGAAATTTTGGCCATGTAATTTTAAAATTCTAAATAAATTAATAACCTTATAAATAACTATAAATCAGTCCCTTATAATTAAAAGCAAAAATTTTTTAACACAACCTTCCAAGTGGTTATAAGCGACTTTGTAGGGAACACTTTGGCACAACTGTTACTGTTGAATTTGCTTTAGTCTGCATACTAGTTGAGTGATAATCTTAAAATAAGTGTGAAGAAAAGAAACACTTCCGACCTGGCGTAGAATAACCAATATTTAAGCTAGCCTTTTCTTTTAACTGTTGTTAAAAGTCCCAGTCTGGCTCTAAAAATTTTATTATGGTTGAAAATCGCTTGCTATATGAAAAACGGAGATTTTTTTTTTGAAGTGGCGATAATAATTTTATTCGCAATGTCCCACAACTATTATAAAAAGCAAGCAAATGCGCAGTTGAAAAACAATTCAGGTGACTCGTTACCGATCATTGATATACACAAAATATATTTTTCAATGACCACTTTCAAATAATAAAAAATCAGATGAAAAATCATCCAATAGGACGAATTGTATAAACTTGTAAATTTATTTATAATATTGGTTAATGCCGATCATTTAACACGATGGCTTAGCTTTTGGGCTGCCCTTGTCGAGTAATTTCGGCACTTGTCAATTGATTAGTTTACGAATTTACTTTGATTCTCGCTTACTTGTACCCGGAAAGCTTCAGCGAGCATCTAATCACACTTATTGGTGTAAGGTAATTGTAAATAAATAAAGATGGCTCTTTTACAAAGCTCGAAGGCTTCTATAAAGTTCCTTTTATTCACTTGTGACCGATTTATTTCAATCGTTTATCCTTGTCTATATTTATTTAACTCGCTTTGATTTATTTACAGAACAACTTGGACAGTTTGTTTAACAGCACTACGATTACGATAACACTATCAATATTCCCGGCTAACATTTGACCAATACTTTACTAACCTTAACACCACTTTAAATGAAAAGTAAAATAAAATAAAGCAACGTTTTATTTTTAAAGGTTTATTTATAATTTTTTAAGTAATGGTTTTACAGTTTTTATTTTATTAGAGTGTTAATGCGGTAAGCGAGGACCCGAAGTTGTGAAATAATTTAATAATAAATTTCGTAAATTAAAATAAAATTTTGTTAACGACTTTTATCCCCTCACAATATAAACCTCTATGTATGAACATGACAGGAAAATGACAATTTAATGGACGTAGATGGTTTCTTGTATAATTCCCAAGGTTTAAATTGCAGTCATTTAATTATCCATATATTAATATGCATTGATTGAATATATACGTTACACGAATAAATTATTATATATCCCTGCTGATGCGTGATTGCCAAGCCCAGCCTTTTTTTACCATCGAAGATGAAGCCCTGCAATGTTTGGTATGGAGGGTGTACAAGTAAGCACACTTTATGTCTATTTTGATAGAAGGCATCCCTATGAATCCACTTTGTTGCATGATAAGATATATGAAATCTTCTTTGAATTCCATCATTGATGCTGGAAAATTTGGGAGCCGATGATTATGTAATACTCGGAACTCCGTCCGCATTGTCTTTATTTTACATGGATTGATTCTATATGATTCGCAGGTAGGCCTATGAACAAAGTGGCATGCAATCTATCATATTGTTTAAAAGTTAATTGGTTGAGGCTTATAAAATTTAGATTGTTTTGAGTGACGATGCTAGTGTTTTCTTCATTTCTATAATTTTAATGAAAACCTTTTGATAAACATTGTATATATTATATAATTCACGAACGCTTTGTTGTGATGGTGGTAATGGTGATGATAGTGGCAATAATCGTAATGCCATGGATACAAGTTGGTAATAAAAAATAAAATCATCATCATCATCATCATCATTATAACTTGCTCAATATAAATATATTTTGTTAATATTTAATTTATTCCAAATGATCTGATAATTAAATCCATTAAATTGAATAATAATATACCAATATTTCTTGAAAAAAAAATTTTTTTTTTCCTTATATATATATAAATAACAAATATTTTAATTATCTAAAATCATAAAGTTATTTTACATATAACATCTTTAATCATATTCCTTTTCTAAAATATATACAAAAAATCAATAATAATAATCACACGAATGTTTCAGAAAATTTCTATTTTAAAATGCATTCTTGAAGAATTATTAATTAGTCTGCACCAAAATTATCAGAAAATAATCTTGCCACTACATTATCCATTGAAAGATTATAATAATAATAATAAATGATAATAATAATTATGCGTAACAATCGTTTCTGATCGTACACCATCAGATCGTTCCATTTTTTTTCTTTGAAAAAATAAAAAAGTAATCAATAATTAATAGATATGTGCCACGCACAGTGCGTGAGTGCACAATGCGCGCATAGTTCTCAGTATTTTTAGTTAAGTTTTTGTATATAGGCATTAATTAATAAATATTTTCTAGTTAAAGAATATATATATAAATATGCTATTTAATTTTTTAAAGGCCAACATTATTGCGCATTCATGACAATTCTCTGTGTACTATTACTATTACTATCTCTTAAACGGTCAAAGTATTCTTTAATGGTAACGTGAAATGATTTTTTGATCACGATCTTGCATTCTTATTGGCCAATTTAACGATCTGCAAAGTAAAAATAGTCAATCGACCAGCTTTTAAGAAAGATTTTACGAAAACCACAAGGATAATAACATAATTTTAATTCAAATATCAACAGCCGAATCTCAAAGATCATTTTCGCATTAGGAAGTGATACCTTCAGAAAAAGTTTTTTATAACAGAAAAAAAATTTCGGCCGAAAAACCGTTTAAGGTATAATACTAATACACTATATGCATTATGTGCACTGTGCGCACAGTGCGCGAAAAAAAATCAGGGTTACTATGAATGGCACATCTCTAATAATTAATAGTTGATGCAACATTGGATACATATCCTTTTAATAATTTATTATTAATATAAGGATGCCGGTTGCAAATTTTTGATGATGGTTGCTACCACCTTTGTGTCATATAAAAATGATTGCAACCGCCTTTACAACCATTTTATTTCCTTTTTTGAGTTGTGACATGGAACACTATATTAATAGTATATTATTACTATAAGAATATTAATTAGAATATTTTGATGTTGAATTTTCTATCAAATACAAATAATCTCTATTTTCTAAAAATAAATAATTAGTAATAAATAAAATATGATTGAGTAACAGATTGTACAACCTTTGGAAAAAGAAATTAATATATTAATATAATCACACATACCTTTAACAATAGCAGTTACATCGGTGCTTATAATATTGAAATAATTGTCATCTTCTGGTCAATTGATATGATTTTAACCCAAAACTTTACATATATGTTATTTATTTATAAATGTATAAATAAAACCATTAATAATCATTAATAAAATTTTCTTTTAATCTATATATTACATATTAATAACATCTCCATCAGATCCTGCTAATGCATTAATAAATAAATACCTTTCCCTATAAAAAATTGGTACGGAAATGTATGGGAAAATGTATGGAAAGCTGTACAGAATTTTAACTGAAATTCGCATTTTTCCATACAAACTCCAAGCATTTTCCCATGCATTTCTGTGCCAAATTTTTTATAGGGTTTTAATTTAATCATTACACTTCTAAATATATATAAAAAATAATAGGAAATAAAAATTAGTAATAGTATGAACTAATCTTTAAAATATTAAAAAAACCAAGATTAACTGACATTATTTCCATTTTATTAATAGCCATTCTTGAAAAAAGTCTTTTACGCGAATTTGTTTTTGTTTGAAAATATTAAATAAATGCAATCTTCTATTTCATCCAGCAATGTATATTAATATATTAATATTATTAGGTAAAATGTTTATTATATTATGAAAATAATCTTTAAAGAGCAAATTTGAAGTTAATACTTTTCCAAAAATCGTTATATTCATTACACGATTCAATTTCATTTTCACATACAAGTTCTAAAGTGAAGATTGTAATTTAGAAGGTGCTGAGATTGAAGATGATAACATAAAAAAATTTATCTATCATCTTTACTTTTAATTTTATTTTGCCAATGACTTAGATTTTCGTCATGCTTTAGTCATTTGTCATTTTATGAAATAGTTTCTCAACTCCAAATCAAATTCATCAAATTTGGTGGAATTAGTGGCTTCAAACAAAATAAAGCAGGTTGTAAATATTGCAGCCATGGATTAAATTAAGTTGTTTGAAGGTGTTGGAATGCATTTTTTGTATGTCCTCGAAGCAATATTTTTTTATAGCAATAAGTATGTATGTAACTCTGTATCAACAATCACCATTTGATCCAAATTTTCTTCCAAATACGAATTTGACATCATCATAATTATGAAGGCGAAAGTATTTATGTAAGTGTCGGGGTAAAAAAAAAGGCACTTATAGTGGTGTTAGGTACTTATTTTAATTTTTATAGGTACTAAAAATGCAATAAAAAATTGGTTTATCGGTCATACTCTATTTAACTGTTGTTATGATATTAATCGCTAATAAAATAATTAACAGTGAGTGAAACAATTTAATCATAAATGTGATATATTTCTAAAAAATAAAACAGAAATCTACAATGGCAATTTCCAATACTAACAGGTTGGGCGCCTTTAAACACTAAAACAAAAGCATTTCAAACTATTAATAGATAAGTTTTATTATTTATGAATTATGAATTATGTAATTCAGACGCAGCAATCAATTGTTTAAAGTAATCACTTATAAAAAATTAAAAAAAAAATTACATTAAAATATAAAATATATGAATTAAGGGTATGCTACGGTGGCCGGGCCTTCTACACAGAATAAAGTTCTGCCTTCGCTGACAACTGAATAACAACATTAGCAAATATTTATTAGAGAGTCAGTTTCCAAGCAAAATTAATAAAACAATATGAGATAACTTACGAGTCGTTTTTATGAGATAATTGATGGTTTCATTCACAGGTTGGTTAGGACTATTATGGACCACATATTCGATTGTAAAGTCGTGGTGTCCTGCCGGAATTGGACAATCTATATCAGGGGGTTTTGAATCACCTTCACAATAATCCTCTTCATATGTTAATATTGGTGTACCATCAAGTAAGGTGACAGCCATGACAAGAGTGGTTTTTGGTTCAATTTCAACAGTGCTATCCCATACAATGTGTTCAATGTTCTTTTTACCAGGTACAAATATTGGCGGAGTGTATGTATCCTCAGTAACAACGATGGGGAAGTTACCATCACATTGAGTAAATGCACCAACTTTGGGTGCTCTTTTTCTGAAATCACTACGCGGAAGTGAATTTATTATTGTTGTAAATAAGGCCAAGAACAAGAACAAGCAAATATTATTATTAATTGCGTACATTTTGATTTGTTGTATTTTTGATTTTTACTTTGTTTTTTTACTTTAATCAAATTCTATTTTTATTTATATTAAAAAACCCAACACAAGATTCCTTATATCAGAATTGGAGTTCAACAAAATAAAAAATCTTATAAACCCATATGTTTACATATGCGTATATTAATAATACATCAGTATTTTTGCGGAGGTCAATCATTTACTAATACAAGTATTAAAAAGTGCAGATGCTATTCGGTCCTTGGCCGTTCGGTCCAATCTTGGGTCTGGAAGTCCTATCTTGGGACCGGACTAGACTTAAGTCTTGGGATTTAAAGCCCTGAAAAAGTCCTAAACTTTTTTTAAACATGAATTGTTTGTAATATTGCGAGATAGCTTTTTGATCAACGTTTTATGGCCGAGTTTGAGTTAACCATTTAGCTACACTCGTCGATTAATTGCAAGCTTTTACATACAATACTCGTTAATTAATTTGTTTTACGAATTTATTTACAATTATCCTTCTTGCTGCTTTTTACTTGTACCTGTAAATCTTCGGTGAATCTATTTTATGGCGAAAATAATAACAAATTATAACAAAAGCAATAAAACCTCCTATACAGTTTCTATTTAAATTTCACTTTAATTTTACTTTGCTTTTACCAATTAAAGTCAGTTGTAATTTACAACAATTACTTTTAACACAACTTTTGCCAATTGGTCATAATACCTTACGTTTGCACTTAAACAATTATCAAAAGTTAAACAAAAATATTTACAGGTAACAAAAACCAAAATCAAACCTTTGCCTAATACCAAATCCTCTATTCCACTCTGATAACCAAACAGACAATTAAACTATACTGTTTAATTAAACAAAAAAGAATTGAATATATTCCCCATAAAAAAAATAATACATTATTTGAATTTTAATTGCAGAAACACTCACTATCATGAAAATTTGCAATAGTGGGAAAAGTCCATCTTTTCACCTGTAATCTTTCCGTGATTTTTCATTAACATTAATAACAAATGTTTATTATCCGAACTTTGTCCATTTCATTAAAATTAATAATAAATGTTGAGTGAACTTTATCTATTTTATTAATTAATTTATTCATTAGTAATTCAATTATTTATCCGAACTTTATCCATTCCATTTTATTAATTAATTTATTCAATAAATGTTCAGTCATTTATTCGAACCCTTATCCATTTTATTAATTTAATTTATTCAGTAAAATTATTCAGTTATTTATCCAAACTTTACCCATTTTATTAATTAAATGCATATGTGTTTTTCAGTGAAGCCTCCATTTCTTACGAAAAACTGAATTATATATTCCATGAATATGATACATTTATTATTATTATTATTATGGGAAAACACGAAAATGCAATGTATATTAATATAAAAAAACCGAGATTAACAATGGGAAAAACACTGAGACTAATCACGGAATAAATTTTTTGCAGGGAATATCCGTTAATATTAGGAAATGAAATATATCTGATGATGTCAATTGATTAGCCGGCTAATCTGTTTAAGTCAATTAAGTCATTTATTACCCGATTAATTTGTTGGGAACCGTTTATTAGCCGGTTAAACCATTTGTTAGCTGGCTAAGCTATTTAAATCAGTTTGGTTAGTATTAAAATATTAATGAAATGAGTTGTCGGGTAACGTCTTGTCAGAGAAACGATTGTCGGGTAACGTTCGCAAATAATGATTTAAATTATAACCCAAATGATTTGATTTCTATGAAAATAATAATACGTTAGATATTGAACTGAATTTGGAAAAGACGACCATCGCTTAGAAAACATTAGACCCTATTAATATGAAATAAATATAATACATTACTTTGAATTTTAATTCTAGAAATACTCGTGAAAATTTCCACGAATTTGCAATAGTGGCAAAGTCCGCCTTTTCCCCTGTGACCTTTCCGCAATTTTTCATGAATGTAAATGCATGCATTTCTGGAGTTTTAAATCATGATCGGTTTGATTGCAGGGAAAAAGATGAGTTTATAAATGGAAGTGGAAGTTTACAAATTGAAAATAATTTTGATAACAGAGTCAATCATTATTTGGAAAGTAAGGACTGTAAGTAGGATAATAACGTAAAAAAAAATTATTCTGTCATCTTTTTTACTTTTAATTTTTATTTGCCAATGACTTTATGAAATAGTTTCTCAAATTCAAATCTATTTCATCAAATTTGGTGGAATTAATGGTTTCAAACAAAATAAAGCAAGTTGTAAATATTGCAGCCATAAATTAAATCAAGCTGTTCAAAGATGTGGAATGCATTTTCCGTATGTTCTCGGTGCAATATTTTTTATAGTATTAGGGATGTATGTAACTCTGTATCAACAATCACCATTTGGTCCAAAGTTTCCTCCAAATACGAATTTGACATCATCATGATGATGAAAGTGATGGAATTTATGTAAGCATTGGGATAGAAAGAAATGAAGAAAAAGGTAGCTGTGGTGATGTTAGATGTTTATTTTAATTTTTATGAATATTTTTCCCCCCAAGAAATGCACGCGCATGAAATGAATTTCCCATCTCTAATGTTAACCAATCAAAAATTGGCTTTATGCCATGCTCTATTAATATCAATCGTTAACAAAATAATTAACCGTAAGCGGAGCCATTTAACCATATTTTCATTATTTTTCTAAAAATAAAACAGGAATGCACAGTGGAGTGGCAATTTCCCAACACTGACTGGTTGAACGCCTTTAAATATTAAAACAAAAATTTTTTTATTACATTTCGAAATATTAACCAATAAATTTTATCATGAATTATGAATTATGAATTATGAATTATGAATTATGAATTATGAATTATGAATCATGAATCATGAATTATGAATTATGAATTATACGAATTATAATTGCTTAAGTTTGACATTTAAAAATCTTAAAATCTTAAGTATATAAAATATATGAATTAAGGGTATGCTACAGTGGCTATACCTGATTCACACAGTAAAGTTGTACCATCCGAACCGATAACTAAATAATCAAATAACAACATTAGCAAATATTTATTAGAGTCAAGCAAAATTAATAAAACAATACGAGATAACTTACGAGTCGATTTTATGAGATATTGCTCAGTTACATTAACAGGTTGGGTAGGACTAATAGGGAACACATATTCGAGTGTAAAATCGAGATGTCCTGCCGGAATTGGACAATCTATATCAGGAGGTTTCGAGTTGCTTTCACAATAATCCTCCTCGTGTGTTAATATTGCTGTGCCATCAAGCAAGGAAACACTCAGGACAAAAGTGGTTGTTGGTTCAATTTCGACAGTGCTATCCCATACAAAGTGTTCGGTGGTCTTTTCACCAGGTACGAATATTGACGGAGTGTATGTATCCTCAATAATAGTGATGGGAAAATCACCATCACACTGAGTAAACATACCAACTTCGGGTGCTCTTTTTCTAAAATCACTATAGGAAAATGAATTGATTATTGTTGTAAATAATGTCAAGAACAAGAACAAGTAAATATTATTATTATTAATTGCGTACATTTTGATTGATTATAGTTTTGATTTAAATATTTTTATTTTATGATTTTGTTTGTACCAAATTCTTTCTTTATTTATATGAAAAAATCAATACAAGATTTCTTATATCAGCATTGGAGTTTAACAAAGCAAAGAATCCTAAAGACTCGTATGCGTCCATATGCGCATATTAACGATACATCAGTGTTCCTTCGAAGGTCAATTATTTCATTTACCGGTTGGTAGATATTCCGTACCAGTGCTAGTACATTTTCATATTTTTATTATTATACACAAAATTTGAGTGTGTGTTAAGCACCATATGTACTATATATACTGTTTCAAAAAATTTTCATGTGCAAAGCATCATTTAGTACGAAAAAATTTCCTTTCAAAGATCTTGAATTAAAACGTCGAACAAATCGGATCCTTCTCGCAAACAAAAAAACCTCGGCCTATTAATATTAATATCAAGAAAAAATGTTTCAACATCTCCCAATTTATACTTTTTTTTGTGCACCAAATTTGATTCATGTTTTTGGAAGTAAAAATAATGGCTTTATATCTATTTTTGAGCAATAAGTCTTTCACTTTTCATTTACGAAACAAACAACGACTACCCTCCCCATATGAAAGCTGCATATTCTCACTAATTTTTAAGACAACAAAAACCTTGTTTTAAAGTAAAAAAACGTAATGCCATTTTTGAATAGCCGTAACTTTACATAGGTAGTATGGTGCAAGTCACTTAGTCACTGAACTTTTTGTGCTACAACGACAATTTTGAGAAAAAAATTTACAATCAAAAAT